GTGAGTCAACGGAAATGGTAACTTAGTTGATAAAAGCACTAACAGATAATAAACTGCACCAGCATTTCGTGCAATCCCCCACACGACATCAGGCTCGTGAAATTTCAAGATCCAATCTGTTCCACAGCCGTGCTATTCAAGAGACAGCCACAACTCTTGATTGCGCCACGTCGCTAGCTAAGGAAATATGTACTTGCCAGCTTCAATAGCTGCTACCACGTCACTCCGAGGATGGATGTAGGGTGCAATCTGAGAGCGGTCGGCAATAGTGGTCTGCAAGAGCCAAGCCATCATATTACCGAAGAGGATCGTTCCAGCTTTGTTCAGGTGTGTAAAATCCTTGGGCGAGAGATTGAATGTTGCTGCATCCTTTGCGCCGTTGCCGTTCAGATAGCTGGTTGACTTTTCGTTCAGATCAACATATTCGCAGCTTGTAGACTTCGCGGCAGTGATGGTCGCAGCAACAACATTGGCCAGGGAGAGAATCACACGGCCTGAAGAGTCGAAGCTTCGACGGCTGAGAGACGTCACCAGAATCTTGGGATTTTCGTCAGTAAATTCTCACCCAAATGCGAACTCAGGACTGACTGGAGAGCCCCCTGCGGTTCGGACATCCGCTACCATCCTCTCCAAGTTTGCCGTAAACTGTGAAATGGAGATTCCAGATGTTGACTTCTGGTCATTGTGCCCGAACTAGGTACCATAAGCTATACAAGACCCGGTGACAAGACCACACGATCTGATAATTTACCTGGATTGTGACGTAGGGATGGTACGTCGACTTGCTTTTCTTGACAGCGTCGAGAACCTTTGCCCAGTACCCGCCAGCCACAAATGAGGCGGTTGTCGCACCGCTATGGGCGAAATTAGTGCCAATTGATCCATTGACCAAGGTGGCTAGGAACCCATCTCCCCAGCCTGGAAGAATTGTATCAGAAACTGCCAACTGTCTTCACCCAGTGGACAATTATTCCCAGGATGTCAATTTTAAAACACTTGCCTCCATTTATCGCTGAAGTTGAGTCCCCAGCCAGGAAAAATGCAGGTTTAGATACAGTCGATCGCTTCAATGGAGAAGCAAGAGTGTAACATGGGAGAAGACACAGCCCAACTGCCGCGCAGATCGTCGAGAATTTCATGATTTTAGCTCGGATACAATGTTGGAAGAAGTAGAGATTGTAGTTCCCTGAGGAGATAGGTGACGATTTGACTCCCGCCTATATATAGTTTTCTGGCCCAGTAATAGGATAAGCCAGATGCCCGTATGCCATGGTGCCCATCTGTGTGCCTTGCTATCTGCTTTTCCTCTTCCTTTTTTTTCCCATTTTCCCGCGACGGAACAATTCGGAGTATCTACCACCGAAGCCTCTCCTAGGTTAGGAGATATCTTGCTAGATGTCTTGGTACTGAATATATATACCTCGTGGTGGGAGCAAAAGCGTTTTGATAACCGATTTTCGTGTGACAAAACTCCTCTGTAGCTAATCAAGTCAAGAAACCGAAATAGGCAGGTAATATCAGGGCACCTAGGCAAAGTCTCTAACACACGCCGTCAGTCAATTTCCGCCTCTCCTGGTCATTTTTCTATCAATCTGTTTCGAGCCGCATTAGCGCTTGATTATGGTGCTGCCAGCTGCGACTCTAATAGTCAGATGTAGTCCTGCAGCAGGAGACCCGGGGCTCCATTGGTGGACTGCCCCCGACCACCGCCGAAGAAATACGACCCTTTCGCAAATACGGCGTATTCCGTTATATTTACTCTCTACCATTGTTTGTGGTGCGCAGATCTACCCACACCCAGTCAGCAATGCTTAAGGGTCCAGGGTCCTAGTTGTTTAAATATAGTTGTATTCACAGATTGCGGGGATGTAACGCCGCGTAGCCTTAATCGCACACGGAGTTCACTCCGTGTAGGTGATAAAGCAACATCTAGCAAAAGCCCGGCTGATCATCTGTGTATCAGCATAGTGAGTAAATCAAATGAGGGGGCAACAGGCCGCTCATTCGGGGTAATTCATTTACCGAGTCAATAGGAGAGTTAGGCATTGATGTAATATCTTTAATAGCGGCACTGGAATAGATATGGCTTCTCTTTTTGTATAAGCGCGAGCAGTCCCTCTTTTCTACTTTCCATATTTATGTTCTGAGCACAGTCTTTAGCTCAATATCTTACATGTCTCCTCTTCCTTATATACTTTGGCTCTTGCGCAAGTACTAATCCCACGAAGCAAAACAATCCATGACTGCCATGATGGTCTGCAAGCTGTTTTTAGCCTCAAGCATTCCATCCCTCGCTGTTGCTGCAACGTCCTGGATTGTTCCAGGTGCAGTATGGAAAGACAACAAGGGCCAGAAAATCGATGCTCACGGTGGGGGCATTGTCAGGGAAAGGAAATACATTCTACTAGGCTAGCCAAAGTGCTAGAACGGGTAATTTGCGCTTATCTCGATCATTGCTCAAGCAGCAGCTGGGATTTTAGCTAAACGTTATCACCATCAGGCGAAACACCCTACATGTACCCCTCCACCGATCTCCTTAACTGGACTCCGCTTGCTGCGCAAGCCAGAATTCAGGGAATGTGGCGTCCAAAAATCGCCAAGCCCAATGCCAACAAGTAAAAGTACTTCTATACTAAGCTTCCTACTCCTAGGGCTCGATAACACCGACCTAACGGCGGTAGATATAGACCTAAACATATAGTAGATTCTAAGGCTACGGTCTTAAGGCCTTCTAGGCTAGTAGATTACTAGCTAGCGTGACCTAAAATTCCACTATAACGGATAAAGATCCTTACAAAGAGAATACCAGGTCGGGCAGTCTTGGCAGATCGACCCCACGTCGTGGCCGATCCGAGAGGGGTTCATCACGTGATATACATGTCGACATTGGAGAGATAGATCCCTTATAGTCTGGGACCCCCAGGGTCCCTCAAGGAGACTGGCAAGAATTAGTCTTGGCACTCCAGACAATACATTGTGTTCTCCTCCAAGCCATAGTATCTTACCCGGTTGACAGGCCATACACCTGGAAACAGTATACCTT